TGTGTGTGTGTGTGTGTGTGTGTGTGTGCGCGCATGTGTGCATGTATGTGCGCGTACGTTTGTCTTCGATTCGTCGCAGTTCCGTGTCCAGTCGTACCGTATCGATGGGACTTACCTGTATTGATACCAATAGAGTTGAGAAACCCCATGGAGAATTGCCTGTATCGCTACCAATAGGGTTGAGAAATCCCATGGACTTACCTGCATCGTTACCAATTGAGTTGAGAAATCCCATGGAGAATTGCCTGTATCGTTACCAATAGAGTGGAGAAATCCCGTACACTTACCTGTATCGTTACCAATAGAGTTGAGAAATCCCATGGGCTTACCTGTATCGCTACCAATAGAGTGGAGAAATCCCTTGAACTTACCTGTATCACTACCAATAGAGTGGAGAAATCCCGTGCACTTACCTGTATCGTTACCAATAGTGCTGAGGAGTCCGATGGACTTCATGTGTTCTGGCGTTTGTACAGAGAGGGAGATCACATCACCAACAGCCTCGTGAAATCCTGTAGTAAAGTTCGGAGATTAAAATACAATGTTTACAACAATGTGTGTGTGTTAAAACAGACTAGAAAACATTTTTTAAAATCGTCATGCCTCATTGAATCTTTTTTTTCCGATTTAAACAGCTAGAATTTGTTGCAGAATTGCCAGAATTGAATCTTTCATTAAACTTTTCCCTTTCTTACGCTAAGAAGACGGCGCAATAATAATAATATTTTGGAAACTTTTCTGCTTATGTTAATATTTAAAGACAATGAGGTATGATTGTTACAACATCATAACTGTTACCGATATCAGAATGTTCTATCTATGTAGCCGATAGCTAACATTCAGTTGCTATTTAGATATTACAAGTTATTTTGTCGTAAACTAGTAACATTTGTCTTGTTTGATTAAAGGCACTAAAAACTTCGAATACTATTATTATAATGAGAAATGTTATAAAACCAAATTCACACACGCTTACAGTAGCAAGTACTACGGCATTACCATTCTAATCATCATCATAATAAACAACATCAGCAGCAACAACAAGGACAATAACAACAACAACAATAACAATAAAAACAACAACAACAACAACAACAACAACAACAACAACAGCAACAACAACAACAACAACCTAACACCACTACGAAAGAAAAAACTTTGAATGGTCATGCACGCAAAGGAAAGGAAAGTACAACTGGCATCAGATGGCAAGCATGAAATCACGACAAGAGAGAATTCACTACTTTCGCAATCAGCGGTTTCCCTACATAATATCCCTTGTCAGTACAGGTGTATCTAGGGTACGGCTTAAAGGGCTTGAGCCAAGGACGCTCACTAGGAAGGAGGTGCAGGTGAAGGCCTGGTTCGGATTCCCCTTTTTAACAACGAAGTACGCACGTGGGAAAGGGGCGGAATGGTGGAGGAAAGGAGGATTTCAGTGCTGGCCATAAACACCATTTTCTGTACATACGCCATTGCTTGTTGGTAAACAAAGTTTTGTAGTGGGTTGTTTTATCAAAAAAGCCATTCTGCCATGTATTAAAGCTTAATCCGATGATTCCCAGTACGTATATCTCTTATGTCTAAAAAAGGTCGGGGAGTGACAGCAAACTGCGCGGAAAAGCCAGAAGAATATCCAACCAGCTGATAACAGGCACGATCAGCAACCCAACCCTTTCATGGATCCTTGAGAGAGGGAGGGGGGGAGGAGCAGCTACGGCATTGTATCACCTGCAATGATACCTATTCTCCAACCAGGTAAGTAAGTACGCCTCTCTTTCATAACATGCTTTGATGAGCATTCGCTATTTTTATTCCTTGCCGCTCCATAAAAACCGAGGTCCAAACCATCACCCGGGTAACGTCAGTGTGGTGGTACATCTTGTAACTCGTCCGGGAGATTTCGTGTGTGTTATAAATCTCAAAACATGCTACCACGGACGTTACTGTATGACTCCATGCAACAGGGTGTGGTACACGTATGCTCCCATGCCTTAGAAATAAGATAAGAAAGTGTCGTTTATTGTTACACATGGAGGCAACTTTTCAAAATTCTGAAGTTCGAAGTAGTTTGGTATTTTCATACAACAATACGAGTATGCAAGTCATATTTTTATATCCGTTCTCAAATTTAGACATGCGACATTGTCATGTAAAGCCTTATTTGCAACACTCTTGTACATGCATTAGACACTGACATGCAGTAAAACTCTACACATAAAAATGTATTTGTGAATGTGCCAGTTTCAATGCTTTAAAACACATCTAGCGTCTGTAGGTATCTTGTGTGCTATATATTAGTGCCTGATCTAAGTTTTCCGTGATATGATAGTGTTGTATGTGTGCACATCGAACCAGGGCTTGCCCCTCTCCTGAAAACAACCGGCTGGTGCTTGTAGTGCATGAAGTATTCGACATGACCCATCTCATGATGGGCAATAAACAGGTCGTGTTTTGAAGGCTGTGCGCAGTGCTGAATTCTGAAAAAGTGCAGACAGGTTACGAAATAATGTAAAAACTTGGCCCGCTCTCGAAAAGACATATTATTTGTGTCTTCAAGGATGATAAAGCAATACATAAAATCACTGGCATGAGTGCACTTCATTGTCTGTAGTGTATTCTTTTGTTTCATCTCTGTTGAACGCTCGTCTAGATCCATACAATTCTGGTTTTGTCTCCGGGTTGACAACTCAGTTTCGGGGGGAAAGAGAAACATTGTCAAAGGACTGACACCCGAACCTTAACTCCTCCTGAAGAGTCTGTCAAATTTGTAAAGGTTCATACGGCAATGATCTGGTTTGCCGCGTGTGCAGGAGGACAAAAACCACCGTTATTAATACTTACATATCGTTAAATATCAAGAAATAACCTCCTTAGACTTTACCTTCTGGGGTGTTTTTAAGTCTGAACATGCTATATAATAGTGACAAGGAAAGGGGACGGGGTGGCCACAGTTATCTACAAATTAAAGCGTTCTGTCATTTGTATTATTCACAATTTGCTTGATGGTCTGTCTACAAAGGCCCCATACATATTAATGTGTAAGTTCTATTCCTATGGCTCATTTCCTGAAATTCACGGTCATCCAGTTTTACCGCCCTGTGTGTGTATGTGTGTGTGTGTGTGTGTGTGTGTGTGTGTGTGTGTGTGTGTGTGTGTGT